AGAATGCACTGATCATGGTATGGCAAAATAAGGGTTTCAGGTTGCACAAAGGAGTTGTGGTGGTCCAGTCACATGGGCCAAACCACAGGAAAGGGTTACGTTAGCACTTTGACCGTAGCAAATTATCTCATCTGACTACACAGTACCAACCGTTTCCCCCTTGTGAATTGAAATCTGGTTTACTTTTTTTAAAAAGTGAATTCTGATTTTTTTTTTTAATTAAAAGCATCTTAAGGTACTTTAATTGTTCAGTGTGCTTGTTTGTCCTGATGTAGTGGGTTCTAAAGCATTTTGTTCAGTACACCATATGTTGTAGATCACAACTTGAGTTAACACAGTTCTGCACTTGACCACAGCAGCATAAATATCAGAAGGGCATCGCCACCCATTGAATGAAGCTGTACCCGGGGAAATGCACAAGCTTCCTGGCTACACAGAGCTCTTAAATGTCTTTGGGCATCTCGGGGGCCGAGTTTGCCTATGCCTGTCTTAGATCTTTCTGTGGCCAAGGTGGGAAGGTGGTTCTTAATCGTCCATGGAAGGTGTTACAGAAGGGCAGGAGCATCTTATGGTGAGGAAAAACCCTGTATGTTTCGGGTAACTTTGGATATGATCGTTAAAAGTCAATTTCCTAGTTCCACTTTTTGATGAATAATTACAGGTAAGCATGCCAAAGCCACAAATTCCTTCCCTTTAAAAAGTGGTGTACGTTTGTTCTGCCCAAGGCAACAGTCTCAGTTGGGGAATGGGGTTCTGGCTCAAACGCGGGGTTAGGTTGGACACAAAGTTCAGGGATGCTGGTGTTGGCATGGAGAGGGCCGGGAGGCCAGCTGGCTAGCCCCAGCTGGGCCGTCTCCTTCCAGCCGTCCCGCTGCGAAGACCATCACCTCTGCTCCGACATAGCCAGGGCACACTATCAGCAGATCGAACTGCACACACAGAATAGGCATGAGGCTTGTGGAAGCATACTACAACTACAGATTTATTAATCATAAATCAGGACAAAGAAACATGTCTCTCTCTCGTCTCAGAGAGAACAGAGCAAAACAAAAACTATACACAATGGAAGTTCCCAGCAAGCTGTGCTGGAACGTAAACAGACATGTGACACGCAACAATTCCATATGTCTGCTCCTTAAGATGGAATGGAAATGTCAACAGCTGGGGCACATATTGCTAGCACCAGTCCCAGATCCAGGAAGCAAAGTTGGTCAAGTGTAGGCCAAGTCCAAGCAAGGCAAGCTCAGCCAAAGCAGAGGTTCAGTCCAGATAAACAAGGTCAGGCAAAGCAGAGATCAAAGTCCAAAAAGCAAACAAGCAAGGTGGGTAGCACCCTGGATATCTCCATGTGAAGTTAGTCTGGACTCAGACAAGGCAGGGGTGAATACTTCATATAGTTATATTGCATTAAACAGGACTGCTGCTTCCTTTAAGCAGCTGGCTCTAGCCTCCAATGAGGGGCAAGCCTATTCTCTAAAAGGAGCCCAGACTATTTTAGTTGCTGTAGATTCTGGTGATGTGGAGGAGACTGTGGTTGTGCTGTTGCCTCCAACATGTGACAGCTTTAGGCGGGAGATGTGCAGGCATCATGGGCCCTTCTGGTCCTGGAACTTCTTGTGAGGTAGGGATGTCACAGGCCAGCTCAGAGGGCAAATCTTCTCTGTCAAATATGTCCTCTGAATCCAAGAGGTTTTCCCCTGAGGATGAGCAGTCGGAGCCCTTGGTCATGACACTGTTTGACTCCCCTTGATAACAGTGCTATAGCTATTATGACATATAAAAAGTAACAATTGCAAATGCGCTTTAAAAGTCGTTGCTCTTTTTTGCAGTTTAATCTTTGATATATTCAAACACAGGCATTTATTAACTGAAGAGTCCCTCCCCTCCACCCCCAAAAAACTGGCAAAAGAATAGATATGAATTATACATCGGCAGCAGAAGCATATATGAGAAAATGGATTGTGCTCCTGTTAAGCTGGCAGAGTGTTGATATGATGTGCTTTTAAAATGCGAAAGCCCTTTTGGCTGATAGAAGTAGCTCAGATGTATGTATCTGAGAGCCACTCTTATCAGCATATCTCCCCTTCCAGCTCTGTTCTGTTCAGCTGCATTGGAGGGTTTTTTTTTTTTTTTGGATAAAGGCTTCTTCACTGAAAAGCAACAAGCCTGGAAGAAATATATAAAATGATATTTGAATTTTGCTAATTCGCTGTTCTGCTGTTCAGATATGGAACTTGGATAGGAAGGTTTGAAGTGCAATATACAGGGATATTTCACAGGTAGTAATTTATGTGGTTATCCCCTCCCCGCCACCCAGCTTTCATTCTAAAACCATTGCAAAGGGTGGATGAAAGCCCATTTAACTCCCAAAGCCCTATGCCACCTGATATAAAAGGTAAAGAGAACCCTAATCGTTAAGTCCAGTCACAGATGACTCTGGGGTTGCAGTGCTCATCTCTCTTGAGCCGGCGTTTGTCCGCAGACAGCTTCCAGGTCATGTGGCCAGCATGACTAAGCCGCTTTTGGTGAACCAGAGCAGTGCATGGAAACGCTGTTTACCTTCCCGCCGGAGTGGTACCTATTTATCTACTTGCACTTGACGTGCTTTCGAACTGCTAGGTGGGCAGGAACTGGGACCGAGCAACAGGAGCTCACCCTGTCGCGGGGATTCAAACCGCCGACCTTCCGATCAGCAAGCCCTAGACTCAGTGGTTTAGACCACAGCGCCACCCGCACCACCTGATATACATGGAGCTAAAAGCTGGGGTTAGTGTCTTGACCCTCTAACACAAGAACTTCCATCTGCAAACACTGATCACACAAATGCACTTTATATGCACACTGAACAAATTTAAGGCTGTACACCTTTGCATGAGGCTGCACACCTGGAAATAGATCCACTGAATATAGAGCAATGCAAGGTGTGCCCATGGCAAGTGTTTTCATTTACAATGAAGTCATTCAGCATGCAAATAAGTAGCAAATCAGGATCCCAGAGGATCTACTTTGTGGGGAGCACTGTAAGAGATGTCAATCTGACTGAGTGCTTGTTGAGCTAGGAACAATCATAACCATGTTCTGTATGCATTCCTCATTCAAAGGAGCTGTTAGCACAGGTGGGTGGAGGCAGGCTAGCACCTTCTGGGATCTATGATGCTTTTTAAATAGAATCCTGATTCAATTAACCAGCTGGAGCCAGGTGCAAAAATAGTGACTGGGGTGGGTGGACATTTAATGATGCTTGAAGACGTGCTCGCCTACAAATTTGTTTTCAGCACCAGAACTGGGCCGCCTTCACACCGTATATTTAAAGCACTGTGATGCCTCTTTAAACAGTCGTGGCTTCCCCCAAAGAATTCTGGGAGTTGTAGTTTAAGGGCACTTACTTCTCTCACAGAGCTACAGTTCAGTTTCCTGTGAAGAGGAAGACTGATCGTTAAACTACTCTGGCTGTGAATGTGTCCTGTGGATGAGCCACTCTGGCCTCATTATCCTTTCTTAGGGAAACTGAGCCCTGGTTCCCTGCCCAGCCTTTGTCTCAGCAGCCTAATTTTCATTCTGGGGGTGAGCAATGGTGGTGATGGGGAAGGCTTTCATCATTCTCAGCCAGTGGTCAAGAGTGACTGGGGTTGGAATCCTAGAACATCTGGGAACCCAAGGTTGAAGAATACTGTGTTTGGCAATTGCTGAGAGTCCAGAACCTTGCTGTAAATCACCCAGAGCCTCTCCAGTGGATCTAGACTAGTGGTTTCCTGCAGCCAATCAGAAGCTGTGTTTTGGTTTTCAAACGTTTTGGAAGTCAAACGGACTTCCGGAACGGTTCTGTTCGACTTCCAAAGTACGACTCTAATTCAAGTTTGCATAAATGTGCAATTAACTGTTATTGTTTTGATTTTTTTGTGTTACTATCTTCCTTAGTGGGTCACACAAATGGCTATTCTGAATAATGCACTGGGGATAAGAGTTATAGAACCAAGGGTGCAGCGGATTGAAAAAGATTAGGAACCACTGATCTAAATTGACCTTCTGCCAACTCTTGTCCTAGTTTCCGATAACCTATTAACAACAAAAGACACGCACACAGCTCCTCCTTCAAACTGAGGCTACATACATACCATACATTTAAAGCATATCACCCCACACGAAGAATCTTGTGAGCTGTGGCTTGTTAAGGGTGCAGGGAATTGCAGCTCTGTTGGGGGGGAGCTACAGTTCCCAGGAATATTCCAGGGGGAAATGTGTGGGATAACCAGCCTCATAAAACCAACATGTATAAATCTAATTAATGCATGAAGGGGTTAATATCATGGAGTTAGCTGTCCTACTAGGCTTAGTTATGTCCACTTCCTTTACCTTAGGAGGAACTAGTCTATCAGGCCTATCATTCTCTCTCAGTCCACTAGAGAGCTCAGCATGTAAAGAGCATTGAGCTCATTGCTCCAGCTCAGACCACATGGCTCTCATCAGCCACTCTTGAATTCCTATACTGTACCAATAATCTAGGAAGCTTCACCACTTTGTAGCTAAGCCATGTTTTATGCTTAGTGGCTAACTTTTCAGAATGGTGTATGGAAAAGCACATGAATCTGACCTTGGGCGTGTTTGTAAGTAAACCATTTCTAATGTACTAAATGTGTGGTCTTTTCCTGTGCTGGAGGAAGAGGAAAACTTTGGAAGGAACTTAGAAGTGCACATTTTTAAAGGTCTAATAGCCTCTATTTCCATGCTTGAAGTGCCTTGATAGTTTGTGATTTTGAATCTCTCACCCAGTACTTCGCCAGAACCTGGATCTTGGCATCCATGGAATCTCCTTTTTCAAGCATACCTATTGTTTTTCCTTGAACCCATGAAACGCGCTTCGAATCCGCTCTAACTGTGCGTTGCGCTGCTCCAGCCCACTGGGAAAGCCTCCTTTGTGGTGGCGCTGCACCCGAGGAGAACTACAAGCCCCAGAATCCTCCAGGCGCCCCCACCTGCCTCCGGAGCCCCGCCTCCCCGTGGAAGTAGGAGGGAACGGCGGCGAGGAAGGGAGATGAGGATGGACCGAGGGGAGGCAACGCGAGGCGTGCGGAGGGCTCCTTGCGCGTGGGAGAGCTCCCAGCAGCCTCTGCCCCCCAGCAGCCGAGGCAAGTGGGTGAGGCTCAACGTCGGCGGCACCATCTTCCTCACCACCCGGCAAACGCTGTGCCGCGAGCAGAAATCCTTCCTCTGCCGCCTGTGCCAGGGAGAGGAGCTGCAGTCGGATCGGGTAAGCGAGCGAGCCCGGCGTGCCAGCGCAAAGGATCGCGGTGTTTTCGCGGGACACGTGCGCTCCCTGCTCCTGCCGGGGGGATCGGTTGCGCCTTCCGCCCGGGAGAACAAAGGAGACACCGGAGGAAGCGCCCTCCGCCGCTCCTGTGTCCCTCGCTCAGCCGTGCACTTTGCAAGGCGCGCTCGCTGGAAGGAGTCGGGCTTGGCTTATTGTTTTATTTTTATTTTGCAAAGTCATAAGGCTTGCATTGCAAATGTTGCTGGGCCGCTGGATTTCCATGCATGCACCCACCCCCGGTCAGTTATATACAAGCCTCTCTCGCCTCCTTTCTGGCATCTGGGAGATTTGGAAGAGGCGTGCCGACGAAACGCAGCCGCTGAAGGAATCAAGTCCTGGAGGAGGAGCCTGATTCGGGAAGGAGCCTCGTACTGAGCATACAGTACTCGCAGAATTAAAATAAAATGAAACGACGCCTGTTTACTCAGTCGCGTTTTCCCTCCGCGCGCCCGGGCAACTGCAGCACCGCCTCCCGCTTAGTTTACTTGTGTGATGATCAGTTTCCCCGGGGAGGCAATTGGGGTGTTTGGGCGCGCGCTCTGGATCTCAGATGCGCCTGATTTACAGACCGCACTGATGGGCGCACCCTCAGAAATACGAGCGCCCAAAGCCATGTAAGCGCCGCGTTTGCCTCTCCTCTCCCGCGTTGCTGGTTTGCCCCGTCAAGCCCTCACTGGACGCTGGTCGTCAGTACAGGGAGGCGCGCCATGAAGGCTCTTTTGGCCAGCCTTCCGGGCAGCGAGTCCAAGGAGGTGTCCCAGAGCCCAAGGTGGGGCGTTCCGGCTGCAATCTGGACTCGCTTATCTGGGAGTCGTTTCCGTTGAATCCAGTGGGGAGTATTTGAGTAGAGATGAGTAGGATGTATCCGTGTTGAAGACCAAGTGTTGATCTTGGCTCTTGATTGCTCTTGCAGTGATATAAATACTTAAAGTATGTTTTATCGGAGAGAGAAAGCGAATTTTTGAAGTACTGTATGCAATTTCAAAGTTTCAGCTTCCCAGTTTTAAAAGTCATAGTTGCTGAGAGCAGATAGAAGAAAGAACTAACTCCAAACCTGCAAATTTGGCTTACAATAGCCAACATTTTCTGCCTTCCCAATCTCTCCCTATTCCTTCCTCTCAACAGCATCATCCTGTTCTGAGGCTTCCTACCGCCTTGGCTCCTGTTCTTGGCCTCCTGCCTTCCAGCCCAGCACTTTCTGGCCTCTGCATTCTGTTGCATTCAACTTCCCATATCCTTAAGCCGTTTGCGAGAAGCTTCTTTCCCATTCAAGCCAATGTTTCACTTCCTTCACAGTAGTAATGCTGACTTAAGAGTCCAGGACACCCTCTTCCTCAGTAGTTAGATTTATGAGCATTCTGTGACATCACAGCAACAGAGGGGACATACCATGGACTATTGACAGCTAGCCATTAGGCAGATGACTGTTGACAAATTGGATGCTATGTTTGGACACTTACTACCTTTGAGATTTGGTGACCAGAGCTGTACAATATATTCCAAGGTTTGTTCAAAGTAGGGGGTGAGGAAACTCTGGCACATGGGCCTAATTGAGCCCAATAGGCACCTTCATTTTACCCACAAAGCCATTTTGGTCAAGCCATGCCCACCTGCCCTATACCTAATATAAGGTATGTGACAGGTCATAATTATCTGGCTCAGCCAAAACTGGCCGTGCAAGACGGTGTTTTGCAAGCGTCTTCTGAAGAAGTCCCTTGCAAAGTGCCCTGCAAGACCCACACACGCCTAAAAAGACTCACTTGACATTGCAGTGCTGTCAGGTGACTATCAGGTAGGCAGACCTGCCCACCTATAAAACTTGGCCTATGAAGAGTGGGTGCGGAGAAGATAATGATCAAGTCCACCAGCCACTTCCAGTTCCCTACCTGTAGGCTAAAGGCATTATGCTGCTAGCAGTTTTATTTCCATCTGGTCAGTTGGATGACCGTCGGTCTTGGTTGCTTTTGTTGAGATCCATGCATTGGTGGGGGGCTTGGGTTAGACTAGGTGACCCTTGTGGTGGCTTCCAATTCTACGATTCTATGGTGACTTGAGCTGTACTCATTATATTCCACACCATAGGTTTGTTTAAAAGCATTTTAGTATTGACACTTTTGTTTTAGAGCACAAACAATCCCTAGCATGTAATTTCTGTTTCCACAACTTCTGCACACTGGATCAACATTTTCTTTAAACGTTTCACCATGACTCCCAAGATCCAATTCCTGCTTGGTAACTCCCAGCTTCCTTTCCACCTGTATAAAATGCAGTTAGGATTTTGCTTCAGTGCCTCACTTTGCACTTGCTTACATTGAACTACATTTGTCATTCATTGTATGGCCCATTCTCCCAGTTTTGGACTGCTTTACAATCACTTCTTTTGAACATCCTGAATAATTTGGTATGTCATCAGCAAACTTTGCCACCTTGCTCCACACCCCTAACTCTTGGTCCTATGCAAAACAATTAGAAAGCACCAGTCTCTATACAAATCATTGGAGGAGCCCACCTCTTGTATTGTGAGATCTGCCCATTTATTCCTCCTCTCCTTTAGTCAGGTTCTGACCCATAAGATGATCCCCCCCCCTTATTTCATGAATGCTAAGTCTACACAACAATGTATATTGGATCATCCCTATCCAGATGCTTATTTACACTCTCAAGGGTGGTTCATGAGACAAGATTTACGCTTGTTTGTTGTCTGCTTCTTTTGTTTAGGATGAGACGGGTGCATATCTCATTGATCGGGATCCCACTTATTTTGGACCCATTCTGAATTTCCTCCGGCATGGGAAGCTAGTACTGGATAAAGATATGGCAGAGGAAGGTAAGTTTTCAGACCTGTGCAATTATCACACCCAAGTACAGGACTGCCTGATGTCGCTTGGCATGGCCAATGGAACAAACAGAGTGCGTCAAGGCATGACTTAAGCTGACTGTAAGAAGTGGATGAACTAGCCTATAAACCAGTGGTAGGGAGCTTCTGATCCACGGGCCTCCCCATTTGGCCCATGAGATGCTTTGGGGGGAAAGGCTTAAACTGCAAAGTAACAGTCTTCAAGGAAATGCTTTGTTTACAGTGCTGCTAACATCCACTGTAAATAGAGTGCTGGTGCCATGGCTCTTGTTGTGCTATGACAGATCCTCTCTCTTAACTTTTTGTCCCTGCATCCATGACGTGTGTGTGAAAGGAATGTCAACATTTACCGTAGTTCCATTTACAGAGTACAGGGAATGGAGCTAATATATTGTCCTGTGATGATAATGTTTTGATCCTTGAGAATACACTTGTGCTTTTGTGTCCTCAATGTTTCAAGTTTTGACCTCTTGGTACAAAGAGAGAATTCAAAGCAAAACACTTTGTTCCAGGGCCATGAAGAATAAGGTGCCAGCTCCAGGTTTAATGGGGAGGGGAGCTTGGGCAGGATGCCCTCAGTGAGTCTGTGCCCCCATTGCCATTGTTTTTACAGGTTGTTGCTCCTCTGCCGCCTCATTATTACCACTTGCATGCTTGCCAGACATAGTCAATAAACAAGCAGGCACTGGGAACTTCACCATCACTTGCTTTCCCTCCCTCCCTTCTGAGCCAGAGGCAAGCAGAACAGATTGCCTAAGGGATCACATAGCACCATATATACCTGCCAGGCAACTGTGCTCCTTAGATGGTGCACTGCTAAGAGCACTATGTGTTCCAGAGGTGCACTTAGTATGCACTAGAAACCAGGCGTTTTAAGTTTTGCAGCTCCATTCCTTTGGAATCAGTTGGCAGCTGAAGTGAGATTTCTTATTCCAATTGCATCTCTTACTTCAATTGCATCTGTGCTATGTAAATCTTTGTGTTCCTTGCCTTGTTTTTGATTCTGGACTTGGCTTATCCACACGCTTCCATTCTTACTATATTAATTTATGTCGTCTTCTGTGTGTGTATCTAGGCAATTTACAAACATCATGGAAACAGCGAAAATAGTTTTAAGAACCGTACCGAATATAACTGAAGAGAGGTTTAAAAACAATACAAAAAGAAAATCTAAGGCCAAGAACTTTTCATCCAGCTGGAAAAGCTTGTTTGAACAAAAATATCTTAATATCTGTTTCTGGAAAGTTCAGATAGTGGGTGCCTATCCTATCTTGACAGGAATGATGTTCCACAGAACAGCGGCAACCACATTGAAAGCCCTGCTCCAAGTTACTGTGGAGTGGGCTTCTGATATTTTAGGAACTTGAAGAGGTCGCTTTGCTGTCAAATGCTGTGGCCTACTGGGTCCATAAGGAATAAGGAGGCCTCTCAAGTAAACTGGTCCTTAGTGGTATGTAGGGCCCAGACCTTGAACTTGGCACAGTAGCAGATTGGCAGGTAGTGCATATCCCACAAACAAAGGTGTTGTATGCTGATGGCGCTTGGCTCCTACAGAAAAAGAATCTAGCCACTGACCTGCCCTTCCAAGCCAACTTATATCGAGCACATTGCAGTAAATCCAACTTGGAGGTTACCAGTGTGTGGGCAATTGCAGCCAAGCTGTCTTGACTAGGGCTGGGCAATGTCAGGTTTTCAACATTGTGATGTATCACCAGCCAAACATAGCGATCTGGCAGCACATTGTGATGTTAAAAGGGAGGTACAAGCTGCATTGGCCCTGGCAAGGTGTCGGGGTGAAACCGCTGCCCCCCCCATGCTGAGGAAGTTTGCGGTGGTTTCACCCCAGTGACTCGTGGGGTGGGGAAGAGGCAGCTGGCTCCAGGCACCAGGAGGAAGAGGCTGCCTGCCCGTGCGAAGGCGGCGGAGATAGCTCTGTGGATGGAGCTTGTCAGGATTTGTCCGCAGGGCTCCCTTGCCACCTTCGCATAGGGGGCGGCTTCTTTAAACTGCTCCACTGAGAGGTGCACAGCTGTCAGGGCCTCAGCGGAGAGGTTTAACGAAGCCCCCATCCTGTGCAGAGGGACTTGGGAGCAGTGGTGATTTCAGCCGTGATACATCTCCCAGGCTTAATCTCGAACCCGGAGCAGGTGTAGCTATCTTACCAGCTTAAGCCATATCCTAATAAACCACCTCTTTCTCAGGGGAATGGGGTAGACAAGTCAAGAGCAAGAGTTGTCTTTGAGCTGCTCCACTTTTCATTCATTTTCTGCATCGCAAGCCAGGAGTAAACACAGTGGAAGAAATGCTTGCTCTGACAAGCAGTTATGGAGGACCCTGACTGGTGGCGTGGTGCAATTTGGGTATTCTACTTTTATCCTCACCCCATCTCTGGGAGCTGGAACATTGGGCATGGGCAGGAATCAGAAAGCTCATCAAGGTCCTCTTAAACATGGATGACTAGAACGTCTGTGGTCATGTCAAAAAAGGAAGGTCCTCTCCCTCATCTCCCACTGCCCCCTGGGATTGAAGCTTTCAGTGGCCATAGTTCTTTATTCATCTGCTTCTGCGGAAGGAAAGGTTAGGGTTTGAAATAAGATGGTGTGTCTGAGCAGGTTCTGGGTAATAACAGAATGCTGGTTCCTAAGCATCCTTCTGTTTCCACTGTGGATTCATTAAGTGCCTATTGCTATTGCTAACTAGGCAGCGGTGGAGGTTGTGCATGCCTCTGGGGAGGTGATGGATGCAAATAACCAGAGATTAGCATAGCAGATGACAAATGCTTATTTGCCTGTGTTGCAAGAAGCAGCATCTCATGTTAACGATCGAAAGGCAATATATATCCCTATATCTCTTACTGAGGTCACTAATTTGTCTTTCTGGAGAGGGTAGCCTTCTTCATGACTTCAAAACTTCATGGGTTCTCCTTGGTTGACTAAAAGGGGTTCATTGTACAGAGACTTTATTTTCTTGAAGCTGACCTCATTTGCACCTCCCATCGTTCCATGTCCCATTTCTCTTCTGCGATAGAACATAATTTAGGAGGGGGGGAACAGTCTTTGCTCCACCAGGGCATCAGAGAGCTCAATAATTATTTTCCATTTTTCATGATGCACAGCTTGCCCTTCTGTTTAGTACTATTCACGAGAGGCTGTTCCAGAACCCTGCTCAGGGGCGTAGAAACCATTTCACCTGCATTAATCCCAAACTGAATAATGGGACAGTTGATTTATTCCCTCCTCTCTGCTTAACCTAAATGGGTCGCCTTCATTTGAGTACCAACTCCATGTATTCATGGATTATCGTCTCCTCTATCTTTGGCACTCTGTGCTTGTATTCATTTAAATTGTTCTCCGTACTTATTGGTTTATTCATATATTTCTTCATCACCCTTAAGAGTATGCAATAGGTACAGAATTCCATCCTTATGTGAAACTGCTATCCACACACGAGGGCACAGGGCTGCCAACAGGATTGCTGGGCCCTGGTAAAGGTGTGGATTGGGCCCTCAGCTCCATTCGCAAAAGAGGAGACAAATCTGTACCACATTTTGCATATGCTCTGTGTCACATGCAAACTTGTACTATCTTTTGTGGGTGGAGTGGAGGGCCAAAAAAACAAATCTCTCTGTGTGTGCACACCCATGTAGGAAGATATCTAACTGACAAGAGGAGCTACTCCCATAATTGTGTTTCCATGCTAGGGAAGGTTTAACCTGTTGTCACACAAGTAGGATGCATCTATACTATACATTTAAAGCACTTTTCATACCACTTTAAGCAGTCATGGCTCCACCCCCCCCAAAAAAGAAAAGAATCCTGGGAACTGTAGTTTGTTAAGGGTGTAGCGAGTTAGGAGACACCTATTCTCCTCAAAGGGACACAATTCCCAGAGTTCTCTGGGAAGAGGGATTGATTGTTAAAGCTCACCGGAAATTGTTAGGCTATCGAAACAGCCACTCTCCTCCCCTGCAACTACATCTCTATTGAGCAAAAGGATTTGAGCCTTTGGTAGGCAAATATATACCCATCTAAGTGTTTATATTTGCAGCAACAGCACATTTCCAATAATCATTCTGACCTCTGGTCAGTTGCGGCCTCTTAGCCTACTCTACCTCACAGGGTTGGTATGTGGATTAAATGAGGAGAGAACCATGCAGGCCACCTTGAGCTGCTCAGAGAGAGAAAACAAGTAGGAAATAAATGCAATACATAAATAAATAAATAAAAACTCCCCTTCTCCCCCTGTGCTGCTGCTGCTGCAGTCAACTTACTAGCTTTTTCCAATGGCATTTCTCGAAAGCACCCTGGATAGCAACACTGCAGGATTGTCATACACAACTCTCTCTCTGAGCCCCTCTCCCAAGTGTTAGTATTGCAATATGTGAGCTATGCTTTTTCAGGCACAATGCCCCCCCCGGCAATATGGATAGACTAATCATAGCATTTTTTTCAGTGTTTACATAGGGGGGAAATACATTCTTGCACAAAATTAATTTTGTTATAGTTTTCACCCCCAAAGGCCTTTGAAATCCAGCTTTCACATTATTAAAGATAAATGTGCTCTAAAGGTGTTCCAGGACCTAGACTTGGTATTGTCCTGAATATATGCGGACATGTTTGTTTTTCAAGTGCTAGGTTCTGCTTCCAATTTAATAACTCCGATTTACAACTTCTGTTGTATGTGCCACCCAGCCTCTCGCTCTCTGTGGGTGTGTGCATGTGTACACTTCCCACATTTGTATACGTGTGTGTGTGTATAGTGGCCATTTGCCGTTTTAGTTTTGAGCACTGTTAAAAGAGTGCTGGATTGCATTTTCAACATTAGCTGCAGCATTTTCCTTCCTTTGCTCTCATTTACATCAAGTGCCCCTCTGGGGTTGCCATCCTTAAGGTCAACTGGGACATCTTTATAATTGTGGCATCTCTGTGAAGTCTTTTCACTTTGCAGAGGGCAGAAATACCAATGGTAGAAATAAATACTATAATAAAATGATGGGCCTTTTCTGCAGTGGTTCCCCATTTGTGGGATGCTTTCCCCAAGGAGCCGCACCTGGCGCCTTTATAACATATCTGTAGGCACCAGGCAAAAACATTCCTCTTCTCCCAGGCCAGGCATCCCCAAACTCGGCCCTCCAGCTGTTTTGGGACTACAGATCCTATCATCCTTGACCACTGGTCCTGTTAGGGATGATGGGAGTTGTAGTCCCAAAACAGCTGGAGGGCCGAGTTTGGGGATGACTGTCCCAGGCCTTTGGCTAATGAAATAATCTGACCTTTTAAACTGGGGTGGGGGTGGGGCATAGTTTTTGTTCGTTACTACATTATGAATTTTTGTGTTTTTATATTGTAAACTGCTCTGTGATCCACAAATGAAGGGTATATAATAGTAATAATTTTTAGCATTTATTTAAACATTAGCAATAATAACATTCCCTTCCCCCCGCCCCTGTAGCTTTCTTTTCTCTCCGTATTTTCTTGTTAGTTTTGAATTTCCTTTCTGGTGTCCATTGTATAGCTAGAATCAACTCTGTCTGGCATTCATTAAGCCGATAGCTGTTCCTCACTACACACCCTTTGAAAAACCCCTACTTTGAACATAGTTATCAACTTATTTAGGTTTGGAATCTTTTTCTCTTGCAAGTTGTATCTTGGTGCTTGGTATGTAGACTGCAGTTACTTGTATTCTCCCTGCCTCTAGGAAATTTAGACTCATTTGACTCCACAGTGCTGTGGAAGTCTTGGCTTCAGGCAGCGTGCACAGAGACAAGCTCTAAAACTAAAAGTGTTTTCTTCATCTTCTCTTAAGAGTTCTGCCCAGCCACAATTGAACCACTATCGTTTTCGAAAGAAGAGCCAACAATCCTTTGCTTATGTTATGAAAGGTTTCTTTTCATTGCCCATTACTTTAGCTATCAGTTTAATTCCTCTTCGCCAACCCAGTGCCCTCCGGATATTGTTGTACTACAACTCCCATCTGCCCCACCGAGCACACTGGGTGGCCTTGAGATTAATTGCTCTCAAGCCTAACAACCTGTCTCACGGGTGTGAGGATTTAAAAATAGAAGGGGTGGAGGACAGCTTTGTATGGTGCATTGAACTTGCAGGAAACATGGGATGGCCATGTACATAACAGGATGCTTCACCCACAAAGGAAGAATGGCAAATGAAACTGATGGGGTATGCAGAATTAGCAAATCTAACAAGTAGCGTTAGAGAACAAGAAGAGACTAGATTTAAAGAAGATTGGAAAGCATTTGTAGATTACTTGAAAAACTATTGTAAAAATGTTAAGGCACTAGTCGGTTTGGAGTAAGCTCAGCTGTTTAAAATTATATGGAGGGAAATAATATAAATTTATTTATTTGGTTTTTCAAAGTAACATTTTACAGAGATATATCAAACAAAATTAATAAAAACAAGATTCCAAGGAATCTCCTGAACTTCCATTCTCCCCTTTGTGGGTCCTATTATTAATCATTTCCTCCCGCATCTTTTATGATAATCCAAATCTTTTACATTTCCATTGTGTCCAGAATTCAGTCTTAAACTACAAGTAATATTCCAATCCTACTAACTATATGGAGGGAAATATAGAGGTAAAATGGCTTTGCTTAAAATAGAATGTGCAGCAGTAAAGCCTCTCCTCCTACAAGAGGGGAGGTGTTGTGGGCGGAACGTGATCTCTGCATCACACAGGGGGCGTTATGCCCCCTGCCCCACTCACCTGGCTGTCGCACCACGCCCACAGGTAAGCACCCAACCGGGCGGCTTGGAGGGGGCGTGGTTTGCAGTTTAAGTTACTGCTGCGCCAGCCATTCTGCCTCATTTTCGCCGTCTCACCGTGGCAGTTAGCCACTGGAATGTGTTGTTGGTGTGTGGAAGGGCTAGGTGTGGCCATCGCCTACCCCTTCAAATTTGGGTATTCCGTTAAAGGAATCCGGCGGTCGTGGATCTTGTCCGATGCCTGTGTGGCGGGGGGCCATGGCACGACCTTCGGTGACATCAGGGGAGAGCTTATAGTTGTATTAGCATCAACAGGCTCCACCTTCTGGTGAATAAACCCCCTTTGGGCTCACCCCCTCTCCGAGTGGGTGGAGTCAATCTGTTGTGGTCCAATGCCTAAGCCAATACCTTCTCACTTGCTGTAATCAATAAAGTTGTGGCCTTTTCTTGCCCATTAACCTTATATTCTGTGTCTGTGTGTCTTCATTCCACAAAGTGGGGATCGGGTCCTCAAACCACAACTGTTAATTTAAGGAAACCATGGAAGATGGATGGGAAGTCAATTGTATTTTTTCTTTCTTTCCTGTTTTTATTTCTCTATTTGTCATGCTTGTATTTTGAAAAAATATATATAATAGGATGGCCTTGCTAGTTGGTTCTGATGTGTTTGGAGGACACATGTGAGTCAGCCTACCTATGGGATCATAGCATCCCTATGGAGCCAGCAACAAAGGAGCACATAAGAAAATAAGAACCTGCTAGATAGAATCAGAGTCTATCTAGTGGAGCATCCTGTTCTCTCAGTGGCCAAGCAGATGCCCATGGGAAGCCCCAAAGTAAGACCTGGGTGCAATAACACTCTCCCTTCCTGTGGTTTTGAGCAACTGGTATTCAAAAGCACGTTGCCTCAAATCATGGAGGCAGACCCTACCCATCATGGCTAGTAGCCATTGAAAGCCTTTAGCTCCATGATCAAGGTAAGTATTCGATTGACGTTGGAGAGAGACTGAGTTGAGAAATAAGACCAAGAGTACATATTGATACAGGAATGTATTAGATAAAATGTAAAGAAATATACAATAATAAGAGTACATTCATTTGGAAAAAAAGGAATATACAACGGGATAGACAGGAAGTCCAAAGTGTTGGTATATATATGATTTTGGAATAGTTTTTTGCCCTTGTTTTCCCCCCCATTTCTTTTAATATATAAACTTTGTATACACGTTGAAAATTATAGTATAATAAGCCTTGTCATGTAATATGATAATGTTTACCGATATAACATAAGAACTTTAAAAAATAAATAAAATTCAAAAAATAATAATGATGAAAGCCTTTAGCTCCACAAGGTGTGTATGTCACAATAAATCTGCTTGTCTTTCAAGTGCCCAGTTAGCTCAAGCACCCAGTGAATTCACCCTTCCTCGCTGTACGTGGACTTAGGGTATGAGCCCTGCTTCCCAGAGTCGCTGTTAATAGCAGGCTGCTTTTCAAAATTTCATCTGTGTAATCTTTAAACTTCTGCGGCAATATAACTCTGGCTCAGAATCCAGAATTAACCAGCTGTCTGGTTGTAGAATGACTAGATGATGGTAACAAAGGATGAGTATTTTTATCGAGAGCTGCTTGACAGTGAGTCAGCTCAGTGGCTCGGTGCTCATTATTTTATCTCTTGCGCTCTCTGCCTTTATTTCTAGGGGTTCTGGAAGAAGCCGAATTCTACAACATCGGGTCTCTAATCAGGCTAATCAAGGACAGACTGGAAGAAAAGGACTACACTATAACACAGGTGTGAACTGAATGGCCCCAGAAGGCCTTTGGCAAGAAAAGAAAAATACTAACAATAACAGGGAGCCTTCATGTATGAGATGAAAACCGGGGGCTTTGCACCTCCCCAGAACGGGAGAAAATCTTAAATTCTACCTTCTGAGGATGCGCAAGAAGTAATTTTGCAGAACTGGTAGAAGAAAGAAGGCCAGTCTTTCATCCCCCCAGAGGAGGAAGTGAATGAATCTGGTTGTTTTAATTTCTGAGCACTCCCTAGCCTGGATCTCAGATTACAGTTTTAATTGCAAAGTAGAAAAGGGTGGTGAATCATTGCTGGGGGGGATACTCTTGAGATTCTGCTTCTCTGCATGGTTTGGAGATACGGGGAGGCGGGAACAGAGAGAAAATTGGAGAAAATAAATTGTTTGAGAAGCAGAGGGAGATCTGTGGACGCTCAATGGAATGGGGGCGTTCCAGACTCCTGGGCTCTTGTCCCGCATGGTAGCAGAAGGACAAGAAGCCAGCACACTTTTCAAGCAGTGTAAGAAACTCAGATATATAAGGTAATTGCCAAATGGCACCTAGAACCTAGGTTACGGTCGCCACAGCAGGACAGCTAGGCTCCATTCCCTCCACCCAGTGAAATATATTATTATTTTGTTTCGTTTCCATACCACTTTACATTTTAAAGGGGGGGGGGGATCTCAAAAGCGGTTTACAACACATTAAAACATTCAACAATTCAGGCTCCAAGGGAAATCTCTCTGACCCTTCTCTAAGTGAAATTTTGCTTCCTCCATATTTTTTTACCTGCTTAATTTATATAGCTGCTGCATAGCAGAAGCCAGTGTAGTGTAGTTGTTGGAGTGGAGGACTAGGACCTGTCCGGATTTTCACTTTTTGAAATATGACAACCCCATCTTAACCTACTTCACAGGGTCGTTGTTGTAATTAACTGAGGAGAGGGATAAACCATGTATTCCTTGGAGGAAAAGGTGGGATATTACCTACTTAAGAAAGCTGGAGAGGAGAGGCCAGCCAGGTGGAGATGTCTGTCACCAACTTGGCATGCAGAGGTCTCCATGTGGTTGCCATTGGACCTGCGCCAGTTGCAAAATGTGTCGGGGGAATTTCTAGCACGGCTTTCAAGGAAAGGCTCTAGCAACCTGCCTTAGGGCAGGCCAGGCACTCTGCTCATCTTGCTCAGTGGTGTCTGTTTTGATTGGCAGTGGCTGGAAGGCTGAAGTCTTTTCACGGCATGGGCTGCTGAATCCTTTTAACTGGAGATGCCCAGGCTTGAAACCTGGGACCTTCTGTTTGCGAACTGTGGTCTGTCTCATCCCTGTTCTGAACGCATCCAGTCTACTGACGGTTTCCCTGCCATGTGAGAGGGGCAGAGGAGGCCTTTGAGTCAGGAGCTGGCAGCCAATTGAATTGATGAGGAAGGCCTCAAAGAATTATTTGCATAGGTGCAGCAGAAGGGGCCTTATACCAAGCCAGGGTATTATTGGTCCAACCACCTCAGTTTTGTCTCTGCTGACCAGCAGTGGATCTCCACAGTTTTCCCCTGCTGTACCTGGAGATACCAGGGCTTGAACCTGGGCCCTTTCACAGGTAGATCATTTGATCTACTACTGAGCTTACAGCTGCTCCCCAGATATAGATGTAAATGCTCACAGCCACCAGTTGCCCCTCGCTTTGATTTTCTACAACAAGTAGATAGTGCAGGCAGAACTATCTGATGCCCAGTGATGTCGATAGCCCCATCTGGCTTGGTCTCCTAATGAGAACCTGCATGGACAAAGGGGTCTGCTTTTACATCTCAATACCGGTGTTTCCTGCTTTTTTCCTAGGTGCCTCCGAAACACGTGTACAGGGTTTTGCAGTGTCAGGAGGAAGAACTCACACAAATGGTTTCTACTATGTCAGATGGATGGCGTTTTGAACAGGTATGCAGGAAGAGGTGGGGTTATATAAAAAGGAAATTGATTTTGCCAGGGTTTAGCTTCTGCAGAATCTCAGACACCCAGACAAGCGCCACTTGGCTGCAACAGAGGGGAATATGGGAAGCAGATCTTACCCACTGAGAGACCAGGTATGTTGGGCTTCTCTCCCTCAGCTGTTTCCATTCATGCTGGTCCTTAGCAAAACCTTGTAACTTAAGAATTGGTGTCTATTACTCCCAGCTCTCCCCATTACTTGTTTGTTTGTATTGTGTCCTTTCTTTGTATTTCAGGGATGGGAAACCTGTGGCCATGCAGGGAGTGTTGGACCACCTCCCCCCCCCCCCCGGCCATTAGCTCTGCTGTCTGGGACTGTTGGGAGTTAGACTTCAACAACTTCCCCATCCCTGCTCTTTTTGATCATGTGTGCTTTTAAAGTGGCCACATGCCCAAATCTTTACCAACCAACAAAGACAGGAAGTGTACACATTTACTGCTTCATTTTTAGCATTCCTTCTCTGCTTCTTTCAAAAACAGTTTGCTCAAAGGTGGCCTACAGAGCCTTGGAGCTTCCCATTTTTACCAAATTTTGTTTCAGAGGAGTACTGAATGTTCCTCACTTGGCTTACTTTGCAGTAAAAGGCATTCTCTCCTTTTCCACTTCTCAGCTGGTGAATATTGGGTCATCCTATAATTATGGGAATGAGGACCAATCAGAGTTCCTGTGCGTGGTCTCCAAAGAGCTCCTCAGCTCGCCCAGCGGCCTGTGCACTGAGCCCAGCCGGAAAGCCAAGGTAAGGGCAAATCACTAGCATCTCGAATTTTCACCAGTCCCATGTTTTCAGATATAGAATTATAGAATTGTAGAGTTGGGAAAGGGACCCTGAGGATCATCTAATCCAGGGGTCTGCAACCTTTAAGACAAAAAGAGCCATTTGGACCCATTTCCGAAGGGGGAAAAAACTGGGAGCCGCAAAACCGGGAAGGTGACGTCGGGACGGTGCGTGACTAACGCACGCACCACCCTCATGCGACGTCACAGCCAGTACAGCGCCCGCCACAGTGGGGAGTGTCAGGGCGCACAATGTGCCTCCTCCCCTCGCTAGTATCCGCCCCGGAGCCGCGGCAAAGGTGTAAAAGAGCCACATGCGGCTCCGGAGCCGCGGGTTGCAGACCCCTGATCTAATCCAACCCCCTGCAATGCAGAAATATGCAGCTGTCCCATACGGGGATCAAACCTGCAACCGTGATGTTATCAGCCCCACAGCTGAGCTGCGAAGAATCTAAATGACAAGCTGGTTAAGACTACACTACTTTGCTTTGGGCCATGAGGCACCCTTTCGCATCAAATGGAAGGCATGGGGCATCTTTCACAATGGCCAACTAGATCCCATGGGAAACCTGCAAGTAGGACATGAGCTCAGTCATCTTCTCCCACTTAAGATCCTCAGCATCTGGTACTTGGAGACATGCATCCTCTGATACTGGAGGTAACATCTAGCCATCGTGGCTAGTGGCCGTTGATGGCCTCATTGTCCATGAATTTGCCTAATTCCCCTTTAAAGCTCTCTAAGTTGATGGCCATCACCACATCCCATGGCTGCAAGCTCCATAGTTTTAACTATGTGCTTTGCGAAGTAATATGTCCTTTGGTCTGTCCTGAATCTTGGACTGTTCAGCTTCATTGGGAGATGACCCTCAAATTTTCGATTATGAGAAGGGGAGGGGAAATCAAACTACACATGATTTCATACCCACTTTCTTTGCTAAACATGGAAATGTGGCAGATACTGTGTCCAAAAAACCCCCACCAGAGAGCAGGCATCATATACCTGCCTTATGTGGTCCTTTGCTTGCTATTCCAGAACAAGTTAAATTCCCCAGAATATAAGAATCCCGCATGTTTGTGTAGTGTTGTCCAGTGTCCAGAGCTTTTCGCAGGCATTATCTAGTTGCAATCTTTATAGTACTCTTGTCAGGAAAATCAATATTATCCCCAATATTGCCGTTGCGAGGTTTGAAGCTGAGAGACGGTGGTTTGCTTAGGTCCATCTCATGCAGTGGTGGGGAAGCCCAGGGCTGGGGGGCAAATACAGCCCTCCAAAGCCCTCTTACCTGGCCCTTGATTCTCAGGCCACAGCCCATCTCCCAAGTCACACCGTTCCCATGTTAGTTCCAGCTTTACTTCAAAAGCCTTTGCCATTCTGGTTCTGTGAAAATGCCTCTTGCTTGCCTGTGTGCACGAGGGAGAGATGGCATGTTTGTGCAGAATCCTGAATTTTGCATGGCAGGTTTGTGCCTAGTGAATACAGGCAGGAACTGGGTCTGAACCTAGTGAGTTCACAGCAGAGGTGGGATTCAAACTGGGGGCTTTGATTCATTGCTGAGCTTCTTAGCTGCCATATTATACCAGTTCTTTGAACCAGGAACTGCAATTATTTCATAAGTTTATAAGAAGAGCTCTTATTTCATAAGATTATAAGAAGTCCAGTATCCTGTTCACACAGTGGCCAGCCAGATGACAGTAGGAAACCCACAAGCAGAATCCGAGCCCATGAGCCCTCCTCCATTATTTCCAGCAGCTGGTATTCAGAAGCATTATTGCCAGTGTGGTGTAGTGGTTAAGAGCGGTAGACCGGGTTCGCATCTCTGCTCCTCCACATGCAGCTGTTAGGTGACCTTGGGCTAGTCACACTTCTCTGAAGTCTCTCAGCCTCACTCACCTCACAGAGTGTTTGTTGTGGGGGAGGAAGGAAAAGGAGAATGTTAGCTGCTTTGAGACTCCTTCAGGTAATGATAAAGCGGGATATCAAATCCAAACTCCTCCTCCTCCTCCTCCTCCTCCTCCTCTTCTTCTTCTTCTTCCTCTGTCTGTGGAGACAGAGCATAACCATCTCCCGCTTGGACTACTGCAATATGCTCTACGTGGGGCTACCTTTGAAGGTGACCCGGAAACTACAACTAATCCAGAATGCGGCAGCTATACTGGTGACTGGGAGCAGCTGCCGAGATCATATAACACCAGTCCTGAAAGCCCTACATTGGCTCCCAGTACATTTCCGAGCACAATTCAAAGTGTTGGTGCTGACCTTTAAAACCCTAAATGGCCTCGGCCCAGTATACCTGAAGGAGCATCTCCACCCCCATTGTTCAGCCTGAACACCGAGGTCCATCTCCAAGAGCCTTCTGGGAGTTCCCTCACTGCGAGAAGTGAGATTACAGGGAACCAGGCAGAGGGCCTTCTCGGTAGTGGTGCCCTCCCTGTGGAATGCCTTCTCATAAGATGTCAAGGAAATAAACAAATATCTGACTTTTAGAAGACATCTGAAAGGCAGTCCTGTTTAGGGAAGTTTTTAATGTTTGGTGTTTTAGTGTGTTTTTAATATTCTGTTGGAAGCTGCCCAGAGTGGCTGGGGAAAATCCAGCCAGATTGGTGGGGTATAAATAATGAATTATTATTATTATTATTATTATTATTATTATTATTATTATTATTTATTTATTATCCTGGTTAGTAGCCATTGGTCCCTTCATCCTCCAGTCCTCTTTTACAGCCATCAGTGTTGGCGGTCATCATTGCCTCTTGTGGGAGTGAGTTCCATAGTTTAACTAGTTTCTTTTATCTGTCCCGAAACTTCCAACATTCGGCTTTATTGGATGTCCACGAGGGTTAGCAAAGAGTGAGAAAAACTATTCTTTGTTTGCTTTCTCCATGCCATGCTTAATTATTATTTTTTGTAAAGTTCTATCATGCCCCTTCTTACTTGCCTGTTCTTTAAACTGAAAAGTCCCAAAGACTTCAGTCATTCCCCATAGGAGAGTCGCTCCACCCCCTTGATAACTTTGGCCGCCCTTTCCTGAACCTCTTGAGAACCGAAATCCTCGCCTACAGAGCATCTGCCTTGTGTGCAGAAAGTCACAGGTTCAATCTAGTAGCTAGACTTGCAAGTATTTGTGCTCCACCTTCCTTTTTTGTACTGCATGCTGGGATACAGAGCACAGAGGAGGACCTAGAGGAGGAAGAGCAGAAGGAAGCGGAGCTGCAGGAGGAGGAGGAAGAGGAGAAGGTGGTGGAGCAGGAGCGAGAGGAAGCCGGAGTGGAAGAAGAGGAGAAAGGTGCAGCCAACCTCTGAAGACAGCCAGGAACAAAACCAATACCGGACCTTAAAGCCGCATGCTCCCTTTTCTGGCGGGAGCAGGTGGGGGGAAGCACGAAAGGGGTGCTTCTGCAGGTGATGCTTATGCAGGGAGGAAGCAATACCTGGTGGCCAAAGGCTCAGGGAGGGAGGGGGGAGATCAGTTCATTTTGGAAGCTGCTGCATTTAGGTCTAAACCACGTGTGTGTAGTGGTGTTTTTCTTTTTCTTACTTCTGAATTTGTTGCAGATTGGAATTGTGTCTACCCCAGGATTCCTCCAATTCCCTCCCTGCCTTCTTCCCTTTTGGGTTCCTTTTCACTTTGGCTTTTTCAACTTGTGCACATTTCCCCCTGCCTTGCCAATCCTTCTTTCCTCACCTTCTTTCTTCTCTCCCTGAGCCAGCAAAGATCTTTTAATCTTTCCCAGCCTAGATCTCTTCCTCCTCTGCCAGCCCAGCCCTGGTCTGCACTCCCAGACTTGGACGAGTGACTCCCACTCCCTTCCCTTTGCTCGGACATTTGGGTGGGCTTAGTGCACCCTTGTCCTGAATTTGTCTTCCAGGGTAGCCCTTGCAGCCCCGGAGTGGGGTGAAGAAACTTGGGGCAGAAGAGAAATGCAATTCGGCCAGGGAGCAGGGGAGAGATAGCTGCCTGCAGTGAACCTCTGAAGCTGCCTTTATAGCAAGAATGTGAAACCTGTTGCCCTCCTAGCTGTTGTTAGACTCCATCATCCTGGATGATTGGCTATGCCAGCTGGGGCTGATGGGAGATGGAGTCCAGTAACAGTGGGAGATTCACAGGTTCCCCACACTGCTCTATGGTAGAGTACGCCAATAGCCCACCCAGTCTACTGCTGTCTGTTTTTTTATGGACAACAGTTCTCCAAGGTCTCTGTCTGGACTCCAAGCGCTATTCCTTGACCCTCGTAGCTGGAGAAGCCCGAGATTGAGCCTGGAGCCTTCTGTGTGCAAAACATGCTTCTCTCCATTCAGCAGCAGGGCAGGCACTTGATGCTAAACCAGAGAAACCCACATCCTGTACTGCAGGAATCCATGTATCTGTGCTCAGAATAAATCAATGCAGATTTGCATTGCATGTAATATGCTTATTTCTCGTTATGGTGCTTAAGAACTATTGCGGAGGGCAAGCAGCGTGGTCTGGGAAAACTAGCAGGAGGAGAAATCGGGGCCTAGGTGCAGGATGGGGAGGGGCAGGAATCGATGCAACACATAGCAGATCTGCTCCATGTCCACCTCCCTTCCCCTAATAGTCTTGGTTACTCGTTTTCCGCAGGGGCTGCTCATTTTGGCCCATCCTCTCTCCTAGCGCATCCGCCTCCCTTCAACAAGCTCACAACCTTTAAGCCTAGAAACTGAAAATTTGGATTCGCAAGAAGCCAGATTCTGTGGCCAGGCATTGTCCACAATCCAATACAGAGTTAAGTGCTCTTAAGGATACTGATTTCAACTGAAGGTGGAAACAGAAGAGCGTAGCAATCATTTTCAGTATCTTCGTACAAGCTCTATTCCTAGAAGCAGCTATCTAATCCTTTGGAGGGGAGGTGTGGATCTTGCTGGTACTTTGCTTGCAAGTTCCCACATCTGCCTTCCTTCCGATAATTATAAAAACTTACGTTTTCTTGGCAGGAACAGATATTGCACTGTAGCTTCTGGTCCATGAGAAGCGTTCCCTCTTCCTCAGAATTAGAACTCAGGATTTAGCAGAAGGGCTGTCTTTTTCATTACGAAGAAGCCCTCATTGTCCTCTGCAATGAGAGCTGGAGAATTTGGTTCTAGGAGTGCAGGCTTCTCCTTTCTCCTTCTGTGCAGGAACCTCTGCAATCCACTGTGGCTTGAATATGAATATCACATCGCCCTTCAGGCTACTAGTGCTTTTATGTGCATGACCCCTGCCCCCCCTCTCTCTCCTTCCCTCCTTCCACTTGCCCCTCTTCTGCCTCCTCTTCCTCTGTCTTAATCCAGCTTTCTCCCTTTCACTTGGCTTCTCTGGCTTTGCTTGTTCTTGTCACTTTAAGCTGTTACAAACCAGATGTCTCAGGATATGATGCTGATCAATGTTGTTGTTTTTTTTAAATGTTAATTTTAAAGTCTTTATTTTTGTACTGTACTTTTTTCAAAATAAAAAAAAACACAGTGGGGGTGCGGGTGGAGTTAGAATAATATTGCATTGTGGACCTTTTTACACAGCATTTTACGTTTGTCACAAATTATGAGCCACTCTTACACGGATGGAAGAGGTGTGTGTTTTGCCTTCAGCAGATCTCTCCGCTCCCCTGCCCCACAAGCCCTAGGGTTGGCATTTCATGCTGACCTGGTTCACAGCTCCCACCCCCAGCCAAACCATGGCTTAGTGCAGATGGGCGAGCACCTGGCCTACAGGAGAGGATGCTGCTGCTGCTTCCGCTGCTTCACATTCCCCCTTCTTGTTCTGAGCTGTGCCAAGCCTAGATTTAAAGTACAGTCGTACCTTGGATCCCAAACGCCGCAAAATCGGAAGTGAGCGTTCCGGTTTGCAAACGTTCTTTGGAACCCAAACGTCCGACGGGGCTTCCACAGCTTCCAATTGGCTGCAAATCAGAAGACACGCTTTGGTTTCCAGACGTTTTGGAAGTCAAGCGGATTCCGTTCGACTTCCAAAGTACAACTGTAATTTGAACCCAGGCTCATGGTTTAACTTTTGCAGAGACACCATGAGCCATAAGCCACAAATCTTGGTTAGAGTTCATGGTTAGTCTGGAGAGAGGTAAATCACAAGTGTAGGTTTGGATGATAGGCTAGGCAAAGTCATGGCTTGTATCAGTGGAGCAACTGGTGAGCAAAGCAGTCACAATCCCCTCTCCTGGAGTCGGACCCTCATGGCTTCACTCTCAGCCATGGTTTGACTTAGTGTGGCATGTGAACTGGACCACAGTCACAGCGACCCCTATGGGGAACAGCAGAGCACAGCCTTACAGCTTTTTTGTCTCCCATTCCAAATTCCCATGTTTGCTCTGTAGGGAGGCAGTTTCTTGATAGGCTTGAACTGACAAATACACTCACCCCTGAATAGAACACTATATCAGAGACAGGGGATCTGTGGTCCTCCAAGGTGGTGTTGGACTCTTAACTCCCATCATTCCAGGCCACTGACCCTGCGGGCTGGGATTGATGCGAGTTGGGAGTCCCAACAACAACTGTAGGGCCACTGGTTCTGCTTTATTTCAATAAATGGGAATGACAGGAGGATACTTCCTGGAGTGTTAGGTCAGGAAGAGAACACCTCTAACAGAAAGCCAATCCCATTTTACTACAGCAGGCTCTGCCGCTAATTCCGTTAAGATTGGATGGTAACCACAAAACTGTGCCTGAGATTGCTGTGTAATAACTCCTGAATAAATTCTCGCGTCATCTCACCGTATGTGAGCTGGGTGCTCTTTTATGTATAGAACCGTTTTCTCCATAAAGGCATTTGAACTCTGCCAGCTGTCTTACGTTCTTTTTTCTCTCCAGGAGGCAAAACTCCACACTCAGTTTGTGTGTTTTGGAATAGGAGTGGCTGCAGTCCTTCAGCCCAAACATGTTGATATCTTCAGGAGCATGTCACCAGTTTCTGCTTGTCATAGTATTTGAAAATGGTCATAGGATAGATAATTGCCATCGGGCTTAAAAGACAAAGGAATAGAACCTAGAGATGAAATCTAGGGCAATAAAACTTTTGTTATGAAACTTGGGACTTAACCTTCTCTGATGGGTTAAGGCAGGTATGGGTCCCCAACTCCCATCAGCCCCAGCCAGTATGGCCAACAGTCAAGGATGATGAGAGTTGTCCTCCAATGGCATATGGAGGGCTACAGGTTCTCTCATCCCTGATGTGCTGCCGTTGAGAGAGAAGCATACAGGGTCTTCATTGCTTGTGAATTGCTGCTTGCTGTCTTCTGGCAACCTTTGGAGATACCAGAAGCAAACACCCTGCTGCTTCTGTTGTTTTCAGCTGGTCCTACCTTCTGGTTGACCTTTCTATCTCCAGCCTCGGATAACACACTGCTGCAAACCAGGAAACAAGGCACTTGCCATCTTGCCTTACTGGAGGATCAAAAGGTTTGGATGGGAACAGAATCCTGACAAAGACCCAGAAAATGAAATAGGCCACAATTGGCTACATTTGCAATATTGCTTGTACAAAGCTAAGGCATTGATCATTTCAAATTTCATAAATATGTCAAATGCTACAATTTTATATTTAAGTTATAAGACAATGTATGCTGGTAAAGCAGTAAAAATGGGTTTGATAAGAAGCTTAGTATTGCATATATTTGGTTTCTTTTTCTCTCCCTCCACCCCCCGCCCTGCCCCAGTCCTCAAGATTTCTAGAAAGTGTACATCTCTTGTTACGGATGGTGGCAGACTGAGTCCAGCAGCAACTGGGGGCCCTCAGATTATCCCCCCCCCCACTGCATTTATGTGTTTCCACAAACTCTTCGGTCACCCCCACTGATTTTTCTTTGTGGGGGGGGGGGTTGCGTCCCACTCTCAGCAGAGTTCCACAGAGTTCTAGTCTTGTGAGCAGCTCCAATATGCTTTCTGCTGTTCCCTTGCTTTACTCTGGCCAAATTTAATGTTTGAAATGTAGCTAGTTAGTAATTGAGCATGGGTTGGATCAGTGCCCAAGTTTTTGGGGTGCTTAAGGTGAAGGCTTAAGCATTTCTCCAGTTCCCATCAGCTGCAGCCAACAGGAAGGATGGGAGTTGGAATCTAGCAACAGCCGAAGAGCCAAAGGTTCCCCATTCTTGTTCTTAGATTACCCATCTCTGGTTATCGTAGAAAACAAACCAATGACAGACACTACCTTTGGTAGCACCAAAGACGCAACTGACCAAATGGCAGGGGAGCATAACTTGCAGCTCCTCATAAGTCAGGGACACCTCACATTTTGGGTATAAATATCAGTCCCACCTCACTTGTGGTCCTTGCAGATGCTTTCTGCTACCCAGCACTGTATCTTTGACTAGCAACAGTTGAATATTAAGTGGGACATGAACTGATGTGGGATGTCCCAACAAATATAGGACATGGGAGAGAGAGGGGTGAGGCCTGCAGGTGGCTCCTCCACGCAGCCTGCATTGCCTCGAAAGAGAAAACGGGTTGGGCATTTGCTCAGCTCTTCGTGGCTTGCTGAATCCATTCCATTACACTGGTGATCCTGGTGTAGACCCCGTAGTAATTCGGACGTGCACATCCCATTCCCCAGCTCACGAGGCCAGCTAGAAACCACCTGCCGCTCGGCTCCTGACAGGCAAGGGGTCCCCCAGAGTCGCCCTAGGAAGAAAGGAGAAGGAAAAAACACCAGTCAGGTCAGGGGGGAAAAGTGGAAGAGGAGGAGACAAATTGGAGAAATGTGCTTTGAAACCGGCCATGCAATGAGTTGCATGGAAACAAGAAAGTTTGTTGACAAGGGCCTGAGAAGACCTTTCTGTGCCGTGGGATGTGGTGCACCCAGTTACCTGGCAAGAGTCCTTCTTTCCATCGTGGTAGCCAGCGCAGAGCATCTTGGACGTAACCTGGTAGTGATAGGCTTCATTGCACATGTCCTGCTGCACTAGCGGCACACTCACCCTTTGCAAAATCTTACTGCTGGGACCTGCATGTCGGGTACAAAGGTCAGCAAGATTGACTGAAGGAAAAAGAAATCCTACCTCCTCATGAAATTCTCCACAACACATATTTTATTCCACATTTGCATTTTCTGCCCATTCAGTAGGTCTTAGGCAGGAGAAGCAGTGAAAACCTCCCCATATATCCACCCCCCCAAACAAGCTTATTGGCAAACCCGATACTTTGAAATACCATCCATACGCTTGCATGATTTTCTGGAAAGATTCGCTAGGGGGAGCTTGGGAGCATCTTGCTGCAAAGCAGGTTGCAGCGATGACATTCTGCCTTAGCTTGTCATACTACTTTATGATGGTGAGTTGGGTTTTTGACAGGACAGGACACACCTAAGCATTGTACATGCACCGTTTCTGCAAAACTCAAGAGGTGTTCTCGCAAGGTTGTTGCCAATTGCATGGCTTCGGTTAGATTCTTATTTTAAAAAGCTGCAGAAAGGGGACTCTTGGAAAGGATGTGATATATATATATACTGCGGATTACCTCCTTCCTTAGTTGCACCCCATCCTGTGATCCAGCACAGGAGGCCTGCCTCAAAGAGATGGGAGCTGGCAGGCAGACATATAGGCTGGATGAAGGCTGAATAGATGACTGGGTGGTCGAGCTGCAGCAGCGCCACATCGTAGTCATGGCTGTCCTCTTCGTAGTACGGGTGCTGCAGGATACGAATCACCTTGAAGGAGACCTCGTTTGGGCTGCTGGCATTCAGAAGCTGCTTGCCAAGGTAGACTGTCCAGACAGTGGGGGAAGCCTGCCTGGAAAGGAAAAGGGTAGGGAAGGGTTTGGGGAAGATCTTTGCACGCACGCCACTCCTGTTCTCCAGCACCCAAAAGACTTCTCACGGGGACAGGGTCAAGCATCTTGCCTCACACCAAGTCACACTATTATCCACCTAGCTCAGCATTGTTACTGAGAACATAAGATGAGCCTGTTGGATCACACCAATGGCCCATCTAGTCTGGCATCCAGTTCTCACAGTGTGGGCGACCAGTTCTGACTGGCAGCAGTGATTCAAGACCATTCCCCTTACTTGCTACCTGAGCCTTTCACCTGGAGATGCCCTGGATCGCACCTGTGAACTTTGGGTCCCTTTGGGCTGTGGCCTCCTCCCTTTTCCATTAACAGTGTGCCCCCTATCTGCAGAGGTCTGCAATTACAATTCCTTAGCTGGAGAATTCTGTTGCATTCTGAACTGACTGGTTCACCCTGGGGGACGTTGGAGTCAAATAAAGGAGGCCCGGAATAACATTGTAGACGTGGACCCAAACATCATCAGGTAGAGATGGGAGGCTTATCTGAGTGGTGGCTAATGGACTACTTGAATTGTATCATTTCTAGAGATTCCAGCTGTCCTTCCCCATCACCCCAAATCACCTGTCATCCAGGAAGCAGTGAGCGGCGGTGATCACCCAGCGATCTGCAATCAGTGTCCCACCACAAACATGATGACCCCGCACCTGGAGACTAGCTTGCCATGGCCACTCCCCTTCCACAGAGTGGGCACCACCCACAATGC